TGAAGGAAGGAAGGATGAAGGAAGGAAGGATAAAGGAAGGAATAGAGGGACATAGGGAGGAAAGGATGAAGGAAGGAAAGAAGAAAGGAAGGAAGGGGTGAAGAGATGAAGGAAGGAATGGAGGGAGGGAGGAAAGAAGGAAGGAAGGGAGGGATGAAGGGAGGAAGGAAAGAAGGAAGGAAGGAAGGATAAAGGAAGGAATAGAGGGACATAGGGAGGAAAGAATGAAGGAAGGAAAGAAGAAAGGAAGGAAGGGGTGAAGAGATGAAGGAAGGAATGGAGGGAAGGAGGAAAGAAGGAAGGAAGGGAGGGAGGGATGAAAGAAGGAAAGAAGGAAGGAAGGAAGGATAAAGGAAGGAATAGAGGGACATAGGGAGGAAAGAATGAAGGAAGGAAAGAAGAAAGGAAGGAAGGGGTGAAGAGATGAAGGAAGGAATGGAGGGAAGGAGGAAAGAAGGAAGGAAGGGAGGGAGGGATGAAAGAAGGAAAGAAGGAAGGAGAGGAGTGGGGAAGGAAACTGAGCTTGAGGTGAGAAATAAAACTATTTCTCTATGAAACGTAAATAAACACATGAAACCTGAATATTTTATGGGATCTCCAATTGCCTTTAAAAACACAAAAACCCTGCTTATCACCAGCCTCTTGTGTGAACGCAACGGCCATCCTCCGCTCTCCTGCCAATTCGGGTGTAGCGTGTTCTGGGCCTCTGTGGGCGTGCAAAAGTTTCTGTGTGTGTGTGTGTGTGTGTAGCAATTCAGCTGTGCCAACCCCTCCCTCCCCCCTTGCACAACGACACCCATAGGTCATGTCTGAATTGCCACAACGGGGGACGCAGGGCTGTGAGTCACAGGGGGTCCATTGTACAATCCAGGTTGGGATGAGGGATGAGCCAAGACGATCATCGTCAACGCCACGTCGGAGGAGATTTCGACACGTCCCGGCTGATCTCACAACTCGGCTTCTCTATTTCCACGCTCTTCCTTTCTGCATTCTTCACCGTCGGCCTCAGGGGTGGTAGAAGGCCACGTCGCTCCTCCAGGAGACACCTGCACAGGTAGGTGAGGGAGGCCCAAACCCGGGTCCCTTCCTGGCTCCCTGGCTGCTCCCTCCGTGCTCAGGAGCTCACGGGAGGAGGCCGTGGCCCAGTTGGGGTGTCCTCTCCCTCCCAGAGAGTTTGGCTTTCGGCTTGCGCGATTAAAACAAACTTCCTGGCTCCTGTGAGGCACGCAGGTTGTGGGTGAAAACCAAACAACAACAACAACAACCACAGGTACCGATGGAAGAGACAAGGCTGAGCAAGCAGGATCTTCTCCGCCAGGTGCCTTTCCATGAGAGGCTTACGAAGATTTGAAAGAGAGATAGAAGATAGATAGATAGATAGAGGGATAGAGATAGAGAGTGATAGATAGATAGAGAGATAGATAGATAGATAGATATAGATAGATAGATAGAGAGAGAGAGAGATAATGGATAAGATATAAGACAAGAGACAGAGATAGATCATAGATGATAGAGATAGATAGAGCATAGATTTTATATGTATGTATGTATGTATGTATGTATGT